GGTTGACAGGAACTGGGGAGGAAACAGGAGCTCACCCTGTTAACGTGAAGGCTGGACTCGAACCGCTGAAGCATCGACCATTTCTGGCCGGCAACGTTCAGCGTCATTAAGCCGCTGCGCCACCGCGTCCCCATTGCCAGATTACTTCAGCTAGATTGCTGCATCACCAGTGTCTCAGATCAAGGTTGAGAGATATCCATCTGATCAGAATATTCCTTGTCCTAACTATTCCACAACCGTTACATGACAGTAGGGATTCCAAGAATCCTATCAGAGCAATAGTCTCAAATATTCTTTATCCCATAGAACATCTTCTGATATAGTCTTGCACATGTATTCTTTCCAGGTTTCATCTCCAGGGCAAATTATTAACCCTTCCATGCCTGGCCACTGACTCTTCGTCTAGCAGTGTTAATATTGTACTAAGTACAAAGAAATGACACTATCAACACATAGATGCAACAATTAAATCCTGCTTAGACTGAAACTACTAGCTGTAAAAGAGCCTTTTAATTCAAGATTTTAAAAAAAAAAGCAAGACTATCTTTGTATAAGACTAGACAAAATGATCTGTTCAATACTTCTCATCATTCTTCAATTCTCATATACATTCTTCCCTCATTAAGTTGTCCCCACCCCCAATCTATATCAGAACAGAAGCTTAAATATAGGTGGTCCTCGTTTAGTGACCACAATTGGTTCCAGTAACTCAGTCATTAAATGAAGTGGTCATTAAGTGAAAAATCACATGACCACGACTGTGCTTATGATTTTACTTCAGCTTGCTTTACAGTTTCAGAAGGATAGGATCCCAAACAGCCGAGTGAGCCCAAATGGCAGGGAAGGTTTCCAGAACTCAATTCACAAGTCAGTCAAGTAAAAGGGCAAATCTAAGAGCCCCTTTTCTCCACTCCCCCGCTCCTGGGAATACTCACCCCAACGCTGGGATTATTAGCAAGAAAAAAATTAGTTTGTATTTACATCCATTGGAGAGGAAGGGATTACAAGAGAGTAAGCAGGCACACAATGGGGAATATACACTGAAAGCAATGCGCTGGTGCCGGCTGTCTGCTTAGCACTCTCATGGCTGCGAGCCACTTAAGATGCAGACAAAAGCCTTTAGTGTGTCTTTCAGTGTCAGGCAGCAGTATGAGCCCTGGATGGTTCTAATCAACTAATTAAGGTCAGACCTGAGCTTATTAACTTGCGATTCATACCTTTTAGGGACATGCTGCACTGCAGAGAAAAGCAGCTCAAGAAGAGATAGCTTGTTTAGGCAATCTCTGTTGTTCGAGGGGGAGAAAAAAAAAAACAGGTCAGGCACAGAACAACACTTAACTGACTGTGATGGCAAACATGAGACTGACTCAGAGATACTGTGAAGGTTGTAAATGCAGGCATTGGGCATTTTTTCACCACTGCTGTCTGAGGCAGTCACTAAACGAGGACTACTTGTACTTCCTTTCACAAATAACGTTTTGGGAAAGGCAATTTTCAGTTGGACAAGAATCAGTGGAAAGTAAGTTGAATTGCCTCTCTCTAAGCTCAGCCTGAGCAGCTTGCTAGGTTTTTATTCAACAGAATTCTGTATGAATGGACTTTTAAGCCTCTCTGAAATTAAGCAAAATCTACATGGATAAGATGTTACTCTTTAACACTTAAGTGGTAAAAGGGCTGTAACAAAGATAAGAAATCAAAGCATTCCAGAAAGTGGGAGAGGTCTGGCCTCATTAAAGGCAACTGTGGCTGGATACACACAGCATGCTCTGCCAGAGTTTTCTGAAAAATTTATAAGTGGCTTGGCTCATACAACACACTGGGCTATAGTTATTTATAAACTACCATCCCTGGAGCTGATATGACAGGCTAAGCCAAAACTAGACAGACCACACTGCTGCTTAGCTTAATCAGTAAACCCAGTTTGTTAGGTTTGGCTTCTGAAATAGAATACCCCTATATCCGGAAAACAATGGAGAGTTCCGTTAAAACAGAGAAGGTTTTATATTCTGAAAGACTGATCCATTGTCTCAAAGTCTATCCTCCTAAAATGCCACTAACTTCAATCACTGCTTGAAAATTATTTAAATATTTCAATAAAGCAAAAACAACAAGCCATATGAAAATGTATTAATTTAATCAGCTTATGGAGAAAATTTAGGACCATTTTATTAATAAGCAACTATAATCTCAATATTGTAACCTTGGTTGTACAATTAACTTATCAATACATGATCAACATGTTCTTACATAATTAGCAGAATTTCATTAGCTAGTAATATAGTGAATTAACTTTTTAATTTGATGTGTAGCCCAAAAATGTTATGTTAAATGTACCTATGGATGTGCTTTTAAACTTTTTTATTGGAACCCATGTGAGGCTTCAATCTGAATCAAGAAAGTTGGCTGAAAGAAAAAGCGGCCCTCCTCCCATTTATGCCATGATCCAGACCCGAACTAATCACCCAACTGCTATATAAAAAACCACCACTATAACGCAAATGCAGAGATGCACTTAACATAACAGTTTAGTCCACAAAACAACAGGCACGCATCATATCAAATGACTCCTAAGTTACCGGGTTTCTAAACAGAAAACCACAAAACTCCATTCTTGTTCTTAAATTCAGTGTAACTTTCTGAAACAGTACACAAATATGTCCCATTGAAAGAAGATCTAAATGCCAATACTCCATTTTACAAAGCTGAATTTCAACTCCTTTCCTGCACCCCGTATGAAAACCTATGAATCTGGGTCTAAAGAATTACATTCCAGGCACAAACGTCACTCATGGCCAGTGGAATGCTGATTCCTTCTTGTTCACTTCTGCTACTTGTCCCTCTTCTTCACAAACTCCTTTTGAAAGATCTCTCCATTTGCCTCATTATGTGGGGGATCAGTTTGATCCAAGGTCCTTTATCTGCATGGGACATCGTTATCTAATTCTTTGGGTCTCATTACTTGCTATGAAATGGAAGCAAACCACACTGAGAACACTGTGAATGGTCAACAGTGATTTAAAACTTGTTCTATCGGGGTGGCACTGAAAACATTTTAACCAATATAAAGCTGATCCTGTAAAATTGCCTGTTCTTCAGGCAGAATCCAAAAAATTGCTTATGGCATATCAAAAATGGACTTTTTTCTTGCAACTCTCGTAACACCAAATACTTTGAAATCTATCAGAGACATGTGGTGCAGCCTGCAACAGGGCCTATACGTTCCTCACTGAGCATGCCTGGGGAAAGCCCCCAACAGGCTGGGACAAGTCTGAAAGCAGCAGGGCCCTTTGCAGGCTCACTCTTCTCCTTCATGAGCAGTCCTGAGTAGTTACTACAACATTGTAAAAATTTATTGAACGTCTTGTCACGTTTAAAACATTGATTTTCATTATTTTGCAAGAGCACCTGCTGGGTAGAGTTCATTTTATGACTAGGACCTCAAAAGCGCGGCACCACGCATGCTTCTATTTCATTTCCAGCAGTCTTGCTCCATGACAGAAGAGGCTTCTGAGCTTCCCTACCCTCTTGGCATCTGCATGGTAGTGTACTTTTGAATGTCTGGTGAAAAGTACTGCAACTTCATCAGTTAATCATTTTGACTCTACGAGTATTGGATTTTCATGAAACGGCAGCAAGGCGTTACAATGCAGCATTAGAGAAAAATTAAATATGCCATATGCCAACATAGCCTTCACGATTTTTAATGCTGGTATGCCATGAAAAGATAAGCAACAACTTTTTATTTGGCGTCTTTCAGACTTTTTAATGAACATCACTTTTTAAAATTAGCATTCAGCTAGTGCTTATTTTACAAGTGCTCCTGCTAATATTCTGAACAATTTAACAATTAAAAAAAGGTTTAGCAAAATAGGCATAAGTAAAGCAATTTACAATGTTCACAGTAATCTGCATTGTGTCTTTCTCCAAAAGCCTGTCCACCTTTGTGACTTCACAATTACTTTGATAGGACAGTACCAACATGACACGATTATACTTCATGATTTGAATACTCCTTATCTATTTATCTATAAAGGTATGAAACATATCCCCAAAGCATATCATTCTGTGCAACCTAAGGAGAGAGAGAGAGAGGGTTAAGTAAATTCTACCAGTAAAATAAACCAATTGAGCACCTTAAATGAGACTAGAAGTTTGGGAGATAGCATAAACTTGGTCACAAGGGAAGACAACCAGGACATTAAACTTCTGCTTCTATTCTATCAAAAAGGCAACTGTATTCCCTGAAGCACACATTTGCTTTATATTTGGTACTCTACAAAAACAAAATCCAAACCCTCAATGTATCCCTATGTTTGAATAAGAAACTAAACTAGTAATGATAAGGACACCGTAACCTAATCAGAAGTAAAAATTAATGCACATATGTATTGGTCTTTAATCGGAATCACTCAGATTCCACTTGCCGACAAGACAGTTCTGCACCTCTCTTCTCTATAGTCCCTGCATCTCCATTCAAGCCTTCTCTGAAGAGTTGGGGCTCTAGCAAGGAGATGGAGTTGTGGAATATCTGACCCCTTTTCTTTTTGGCTGATAAAATCTTACTGACAGCAATGGGCAGCTAGATGGACTGATCCAAAGAGCCAATCTCTGCTGAATAGAGTTTTATTTCTGTCGTTTAAATTTGGGAAAAGCTGTCTATTTTGTAACCATGGTTCAGAGCCATCAGTATATAATATTATGCACCTGCCTATGTTAAAAGTATCTTTCAGCCATCTATTAGTAAGGCAATCTTTAAGGTTTGGACATGTGTTGCTTTGTGTCCCAGACCAGATAACACTCATGTTTCTGAGTTTAGCTATATAATTTATTAAATTTGTGTATTAAACTTCAATTCTGTTACCAAAGCAGAACAGAAGTTAAAAAAATGTTTCAGGTACTTTTGTTTATATAAGCTTCTTCAGAACGAAACTGATTAAATCTCCTTATTTTACAATAGTGGATTCTGATGGGCAAAACATGTAAGCGGTTTAGTCCCAACAAAGCCAGCCAGATTTAGACATCCTTAGTAAGGACAACAACAAACTACAGGAATTGGCTCTTAGATTAGAATAAAATAATAAAAGAACACCCGCCCAACTTTTCTGCCAAAAGGAGTGTTTGCTCAGAAGATTCTATTCTATTGTTGACAGAATAAAATTTGAGACCCACTGAATTGTTATAACCAACCCCCCCCCCCATTACATTATATATTTAAGGCCAACGCTCATGGATACTTTTAGAAGCTTGCTATTTTGTTTTTGTGGGTGGGCAAACAACTTAATGTTGCTTTGATTTGTAAAGGCTGAAATTTCATTTTTTTTCTATTGCAGGATTAGAACTCATAGCACTATTTTCATTCTTAGGAAAAGTTACACTCAAATAAATGAAGACTGATTATGAAGCTTGACGTTTTATCTAACAGTGGGTTCCAATATCGAGAAAGAAATGTTTAACTTTCTAGCTCAGTAAGATTGATACAGGATTAATAAAAATGCATTAAACCACATTTAATTTTTTAATAGTATCAGAGAATGATGCTTTTTTTGTCTCCTATCAAAATATCAGATTTTTTCCCCCCAGTTGCAGCTTGGCATTGCTCCTTTCTGCTTAACTGTTCAACAGAAAATCATATTTTAGTTAAACATACTCCTATTTTTCATCTGCTTCCCCAAAGTGCTTTTCTATCAAGAAATTCTCCAACCACATCAGGGTCACTCTTGAACATTTCGGCACCTTTAGCAGGAAAGCCATCCAAATAGGTTATCAATTAAATGGACCTAACTATACTCTGAACTGCTTGCATGTGAAAGATCTGGTAGTAAATTGAACATCTTCTCTCTGGAACTGAATGAAGAAATAAAATTTACAGGGAAGGAAACAGCTTTTGAAGTTAAGTCCATGCTATTTTTGGATACTGGGAAAGCTATGAGATTCAAAAACATTATTCTTTTCTGTACTTCACTGTGGAGAGTAAGAAGCTTATAAAAGGTTTCCACTCCCAAAGATGTTATTGGGGTCCACAAATTGTTTGATGGATTTCAGCATCCCAAAGCCAACGTCAGATACACATTCTTTCAGCCACTGTTTTCGTAACTTGCCCACTGGAAAAAAACAACAACAAAAAAGTGTCTTTAAAATTCACCATAATAGCAGGAACCAATTAATCTTATGGCCATGAATGAACAAACACTGGGTGATAAATGCTTTTATTCAAAAATGAGAAATGTTTTGCTTTATTTGATTTATTGAGCGCCCACCAGACTATCAAGCTCATTAAGTACAATATACTCCCAAAGGAAACCTGGATTCCAGACTGCCTTTTCTCTTTACAAAGTATGAAATTTAGATCAAGTTTAGGCAAAGATGATGTCTTGCATTAAAAATAATTAAACTGAAGCGGCATATATTTCAACAAGATCCTGAAACAGAAACCGCTATCTTACATGTGAGTAGTTTTTGTAACCTGTTTTAAGCAAACAGTGCACAGGCTATATGCAACTATACAAAGTTTTATTTTCAAAAACACTCAGGCTATCAAATAAGCAAGAAAGCACACTTCTCAAAAGCAGGATGACAGATTTGGGCTGCAGTTCTACCTATATCTACATTTAGGAGTAGCTTCCATTGAACACAGTCGAACCTACATCTAAGTAAGTACGACATATGCATCCAAGAACATTGCCAGCTGTCACCATCTTTACATAACTCTTTGCGGGGGGGGGGTGTCGGGGGGGCTGCAAG